AATAATTATTCGACAGGTGGCACACCAGATAGATTTATTTGTTAATTAACAAACATGTAAACCCATCCATGGGTCTAGGATCAAATTTGTAAGTTTTGATTTCATTATATTTTGATCATGATCGTGTGTGGATCAACAGAGAGATCAAGACGATCCAAGGAGACTCGACGACCCGATCAAACACAAAGACCACGAACGTGCATTGGGACCGCACGAGCGTGCGCAGGCACTTGGAAGCTCACTGTCGAGGTCGCCAGGCGTAAGGCTCACAACGACCCGACGCGCAAGTATTTCGCAGGTCTCCAGCGACAGACAGATGCTCTCGTGCGCAGGAAGACAGGCGAGCAGGTCATCGCGACAGTGACCAGACGAGCAAGCGTGTTCTCGATGCACGCCTCAGCATGGCGTGGCTTACCCGTCGTGCATGTACAACAGCGGCTGCGGACCTGCCAGCGACGCCACAGCTGGCTGTGCTTTACTCAAAGGTGTCTGCCCGTGTGCGCATGCGACTTGGGAATGCAAGGCCGTGGCTCGATCAAATACGAGACCGAGACGTGATCGGCCTGAGAAAATATTTTTAGCGAGTTTTACGGCGGTGAACGGCGGATAGCAACGACTCCTCAGCGTGGCACAAGAGGAAGCCAGCGGTGCACCATCTAAGAACATTTGGATGCATCTTCTACGTGCGCAACATGGTACCGCACTTGAAGAAGCTACAGGACCACGACCGCAAGATGAACTTCGTCAGTTACAAGCGCGACACCAAAGAGTACCGTAGCTATCACCTCGTTGCAAGGAGTGTCCACGTGACGCACGACGTGGTGTTTGACGAGTAAGCCCAGTGGGGCTGGGGCACTAGCGGGGACGACGACGAGCCAAGTGGCAGCGATGATGTGTTCTCCATGGAGTACTCCGCTATAGGCCAAGCAGCACATGAGGATGATGAAGCCATCGAGGCGCTTGGATAAACTGAAGCCTGATTCTCTAGATGACATCTGTTGTAGCAAATTATATTTCTTTTACCGAGTACCGAATCGAAGGATTCATTCCCCGAGTCGATCTCTCGAGGAAGGTTAGCCGGATTATATTGTATGCTTA